ACACACACACACACACGCGCGCGCGCGCACATAGACACACATTTACACACACACAGACATACACGCACACTTACTCACACACACACACACACACACACGCACATACACACACACATACACACTTACTCACTCAGACACACACACACATACACTCTCTCTCACACACAGACATACACACACTCACATGTACACTTACACTTACACTCAAGTAATCTACATTTGTATTTAATTTGTGTGCTTCCAGGCGCGAACGTTTGCCACGAACCATCTCCTGGTTCCCATGGGCTCGGATTTTGGCTACGTACATGCGAGCAGGTGGTTCCAGAACATGGACAGATTGATCAAGTTTATCAACAAGCAGGTAAAATAAGAGAACTTCATCATTGTCATCATCATCATTCTCATCATCCTCATCATCATCCTTCATCATCATCATCACCGACCAACCAATCACCGTTTTTCTTGTTTTGTTTTTCTTGTTTCCTTTTTACTGAATAATTTGCAAAATGTCAATACATTTTTACGTGACCAACAAATATCGGCACCAAAGTCCGGACACTGGACAAAAAAAGGAGAGAACGTTGGTGTGATATTGTAGTGGACCAAGCATATCCTCCCTGGGGTGTACATCTTAGACACATTTGCAGAGACAGCAATTATAATCCGTTACAAAATCGCAATAGTGTTAATGTTATTTTCTTCCAAAGCCTTTCTGATGAGAAAATAGCAATTTTTTTTTCTTGTCACCCAAAGTCTTGTTTCGTTGCAGCAAAACTGTAAGTCCTGGTTGTTTTTAAAATGTTTACATTAAGAAAAAAGCTAAATACAATTACATTCTATAACGAAGAGGCTAGAAATTGCATTTAGATTCGGAAAAGAGAGAAATGAGAGAGGGAGAACAAGAACCCAGAGTGTCTATGTCCACATCATCAGTTGACAAAATAGTGACCAATTATATTTCCATTTACTACATTCTCCACGTAGGCTTTTCATTATAAAGTAATAGCTTTGAAAATTACATGTTAATTAAATAGCAAAATCTCTCCAATCTTCTGTTTTTCTGATAGGATTGGAGTTCCACAAATAAATGGGAATTATCAATAGTGTACGCGTACGTTCTTTATCTTCATACTCAGCTCTGGTATGCTCAAAATATAATACAACAAAATGGTTTTGATATATAATTATCTACATTATGTATAATATTTCGTACCACATTTGGACAGGGCCAAAGTGTTAGTCGCCAAAATGGTACCAGTTTGTAATTATGTACGTATGTGTTGTTGATTCTCATCCCCTCATCTTTCTGTCAAAGCACAGTGATGATACGTGTTTGTTTTGAATTTTTATTTCAACGTAATTTATTTTGACATTGCATTCTGGTGTGACCAATTCATAAAACGACAAAATGGTACCAGTCTATTATGAATAATTTATGCTTGTAGACTACTTGTGGGTTGGAGGGGGGTCATTTTCCTGCTATGTACAGTTTCTCCAACCCCAACATAATATACATAATTATATAAACGTGTCTGTTCTTCTGTCAACTTTTGAACGTTTTACCAAAGTGCACTGATGAGGTGCATGCGTGTGTTCTTTTTTGTGTATTTTACGCCTGCATTGAAACAATTTTGAACATTAAGGAGGGGCTTGGGGGCTCTCGTGGCCTTAATGTTATGGTGTTGACCTCTCATTCAATAGGTCCCGGGTTGGTCATTTGAAAGCGACGGGAAAAATTTTCTTCTCTAAACGTTTCTCCTTTCACATCTTTCCTGCTCGCGAACGATGTTCTGTCGTCTGCTTTCGTCTCTACTTTGTGCCCCCTTCCCTCCTCCCCTTTGCCCCCACCTCTGGGCTCCTGACTCTTTATGCGGCCTTCCTACTGTTATTCTTTGGCTCCTTCTTACTGCTGTCTTTCAGCCACACCCGTGATCTTATAGTGGGTAAGATCTAACGTCTAGCCTTCTCGGATAAGGGAGAAAAATCTCGGCGGACACTTTAAATGACAAAATTATCACTGTCACTGTCACTGATCCCGTAATCCACGAGGATAGTAGGGGCGCTGTATGCCAGAAACTCTTGTCATGTGCCTTCACTTTTTACGTTTTGATTCTTTTTTTTGCGAGCGACTGAGTTTGGACGAAAGAGATATGTCCACTCCTCGATGTTGTCGGTCCACCTCTTCCTTTGCCTTCCTCTCCTTCTCCTCCCCTGCACAGTTCCCTAAAGAAAGACAAAAGGGTACCAGATTAAAATTAAATGATGATTATATTACAGGGTGCTTCAAAAAGAATACGCCAAAATCATCCGGCGATATTTCCAAAACGAAAAACGATAGTAAACTCCAGCTTGGACATACTATGTGTTGTGCAAACCCTAACGTTTGTATTTCATGTTTTGCAAGTGCTCAATGTGGCCACCACCGGCAGCACGGACAGTATCAATCCGACATAAGAATTCCTCCAAAACGTGCCCCATGATGTCTCGGTCCACTGTGTTGACTGCAGCTGTTATTTGGTCTTTCGTGTCTTTGATATTTGTTGAAAGTGGAAGAACATAAACTTTGTCTTTGATATGTAACAGTTGAGGAGGATGTGTCTATGCTATAGCTTCTGTTGGTGTTTTTTTTTATAAACCATTGATGATTTTGGAGTATTATTTCTTAAACATAATCCGTGGGTAGTTGGCGGGTGCTCTGGTGTGGTTTGCTTCTTCTTTCCTATCAAACTTCTATCATCTTTATCTCCCCTCCTCCTTTTTCATGTTTGTTACTCTCTTGTAACACCTCTAATCTTCGGCACTTGTATGACCTTTTTGTTTTGGAAGTCCCGTACAACACTTACTGAAACTTTTAACAAACGGTTTTTTCCCCTTTCTCCACAGCACAACAACAAAGAGGGCATGCGCATGAACATTCTGTACTCCACGCCGTCGTGCTACACATACCACGTGAACCGTGACAACGCCACGTTTGAGAGCAAGACGGACGACTTCCACCCGTACGGCATAGAGCCAGGCGTCTACTGGACCGGCTACTTCACCACGAGAGGGGGCATGAAGCTGCACGTCAAGAGGGCCGGACAGATTCTGCAGGTGAGCGAGGAGGTTATACAGTAAGGTTGTAAGGTCCTTGCGGGTGAGCCAATCGCACCAGTGGCGTGGGGCGGG